CACTTTTTCACACCACTGTATAATCAAAAACTACAACGCAGTCCCATAAAAACAGAGCAAATATAAAGTGTGTGTGTGTTTAATAGTAGGAAATAAAGACAAGCAATTTATTATCAAAAATCAAAGCTAATATTTGACAACCAACCTCCGAAGTATACAGGCCTGTAGCTTCTCAAAACCCCCAAAACAAATGGATACTGTCCTACCTCATATCACTAGCGAGCATTAGAGCAGTGTACTGATCTTTGTCCATGACTCCATCATCGTGGCCACAGCAGCCTTTTTAGAGCGAATACTGAAAGTCTGACAGGTAGCGTTCCTCTCTGTGCTGTCTGAGGTTGCGAGGGCCGGGCTGTGACAGTAACTGCTGACCACATCAAGATAAGTGAGTTATTAACAAGATGAAAAATATTGTAATGTGTTGAGAGAAAAGGAGTGGGGGAATACCTGTGTGAAAGGGGAATAGAGGGTTAGGTGGGAATTCATGGGAATGCCGGAAGAGATATAATTGAGGTGTGGTTCTGAAACTCTGCTAATAGCTTCAGCCTGGAATGGATCGGCCGTCTGAGGCCGCTAACGGGACGGTTCACACAGTTCTTTAAGACATTTATCGACATTTATCGACTCTTATCTCGTAACTGTCTGGAAACCATTCCTCTGTGTACTCCTTCTACTCCGACTACTAAACCTTCTACTCGACACAGGTGTTTTTTTTTTTTTATAAAAAGCTCAGATTTGCAGTTCAAAGTTCACCAAAGTTGAACTTGTGTAGAAGAACTGGTGAGGATTTTTACTTCGGCTGTGCGAGTGATATAGCATGTAGGTTTACACTCCAAAGACGGCCAAGTGCAGCTGAGAAAAATAAGATTACACTTGTGCAATATATGACTTCTAGACTGACATTTTAATGGGCGTTTTTTCCCTCATTAACATGATCATCATGATATCATAAAGGGAAATGAGGTAAAAATCACACACACAAAACCCAGTGGAAGCTGCTCTTCATATGGGTAGTGCCTCTCTATACACGCACACGCACACACACACACACTCTTACACACACCCCTCCTCCACCGGCTGAGGTCGAAGCTGATCGAAAAGGAAATGGGCCGCTTTAACATCCCACCTTTTCCCAGATCCTGGGAGGAGCCTGTGCCTGGTGGCAGTGGAGAGAACAATGGCAGGAAACTGGGAGAAGAGAGAGGGAGTTCCTGTTGGCAGGAGAGAGCTGAAGACGAGAGCGGCGGCGCACCTCATACAAGTAGATACTGGCCCACCGCCCTGGCTAGTAGGAACTGGGCTCTTTAAAACTGCAATACACTTATTGTTTAAAATGTTTTGAAGAGTTTGATTCCAAATGTCTGACGTTTGAAGGGTGGTTTCGATGTGCTGCTGCTTGACTTGAAAAATGATCCGAACAAATCTGCTTGCAAAGCAAATAACGCTTATCGTTGTTGATCACACCACTCAGAAAGGTCGCTTTTATACCTGTAGTTCAGTTCGGTCCATGAACAAATTAACCACCTTTTCAGTAAAAGCACTGTAGGATGGGCTCTTTAAAAGATTATTCTGGTTTACTGAAACTTGGATCTTATTTTTCTGTGCAATGTTCATTGCTGAGATATGCGAACGTGCTGCAGCCTTAACACCAGAAATAATGTTTCTGGATGATTCTGCAGAATGTTATTTAACATCCAGTGAAAATATATTTTATCAGTGCTAGCAGCTGCTCTAGGGATCGCAATGCTGGTCTGGCTGATCCTTTAACTTTTCATATAGCGCCATCTTTAGGTCAAAACTTCACTGTTTTCTTTTGTTTCTTAAACACTGCAGAACAAATCACATTTTTTCACAGCAGCCATTTTGACATGCAATAGTAGGATAAATGCAGGTGTTACCAATGACACTAATTAGGGTTCCATTTAGTGTGGCAGAGCCTTTCCACTGTGTCCTGACTCCTAAATGACTTAAATGATACAAAACCTTTATTAGTATCATTAGTAACATCTGTTTACCCTCCTATTTCATGTCAAATTACATAACAGAGCTACTAGCATGGTGGTAGATTCTTAGTCTTGTAAGAATAATTCGCTAAGCCACTAGAGGATGGTTAAGGTTAAGGCAACTTAAAAACTGTGCTTCCAGTAAACAAAAATATCACACAATATGAATATACATTGTGACAGGATGCAAACTCTGGTCTCCTGGATTACAAATCAGTTAAATGGTGCACTTTAGGTTTGTTCAATATGATCGCAAATCCTAGGGATACTGGGCTGCACAGCATTGCTTTAAAGTGGTTAAACAGGGAAAGAAACACAGGTAGTGAGGCAAATTTTTCCCCTAGCTTAACCAAGGTTTGTCAGATCAGTTGATATTATAGCGATATGTTTGTGGTGAATGCAATAATAAGAAATAGAAACCTTTTAAAACAAGATGCAAGTTGTAATGAACTGGATTATCCTTTAACTCAACAACAAGGAACATTTCATTTTCAGCTGGTTTAAGAGAAAGAAAGAAATTTAAAACGTATTGTACATCTCTGATTTGATAGAGATTTTCATCATCCTTTTTTCCTTGCTGCTCGGGTAAAAGGTGGCCTACAGCTGCAAAGGACAAAAAAAAGTGCGACGCCCCTGGCCAGCAGTCTGGAAATGAACTCTCTACATGATGTATTCACACATTTGATCATGACATCCCTCCAGAAACAACAAAGCAGCGAGACTACCAGACAACCCAGTGTTGACATCACTCTGTGATGAGCAGCTCAGATAATTCATGACCTTGCGGCGATCTGAATGAGCCACGCAGCGAATGGGAGACTTCCTGCGGGTCCCACCCAGGTCCGGGTCACATCCATACAGCCGGGCCACATTGCTCACCCCAGCCCCTGCACTGTACGCCCTCCACACCCTCGAGCGCGGCCAAGAACTCATTCCATTGTTCTCAAGAGTGAGACATCCCAATGCACAAGTGGCCAGATAATGCTACGAGCCAGATGTGTACAGTATGTGTGTGGTTTAACCAGTCATTTTTGCAAACAACGACAGTTTCTAATGAAGTGTGGTTACTGGAAATGGCTGCAGCATATTGTTTTTAAGTTTGAGTCATTCTTCCTTGTCAAGAGCAAAAAGGTCATTAGTGTCTTCAGCCATGTTGTGAGTCAAGTTGCTTTACACTTTGCATTCCTAACATACCACCTCTGCTGTTGCTGGAAAGGTGAAGTGCATCGTACCTTGTTCCTCAGGTGGGTTTTTCCAAGGATGCGGACTGACATGATGAATAGGAAATGGAAAGTTTCTCTCTTCAGGGAAGGAGAAATCCATTTGAATGGCCCACAAACTCAGAATGCTACATGAGTTGACATTTTGTCTGAGCTCCGGTTTCTCAAACGATGTTCTGTGACATGGCATGAATATGAATGAATTGAAATATTGGTATGAATAACGATACAAGCAATCTAGCAGTGTGTGTTGGGCTTTTCTGTAGACTTTTACTGTTTGTATGTGGCATTATTTAAGATATATGAAAGAGTTGAAGAGGTGAGATTATTGAAAAATGCACTAGCCCTGATACTGGTTAGTGTTTTGAGGGCAGCCAAGTGCCTGTACTCATGTGTTTTAGTCATATTAAAGGTCCAGTGTGTA